CATTACTGACTCAAGTTGCTGACCGGGCTTTGTTCAACACATGTTAACACTTGCAATGCTACGATGTTTACGAAAGGGTGCATGTATTTGTGCATGCTATTCCAACCTACTTTCTGATTTGTACATGTGTGTGTGTGTGGGTTGTGTGCATGGGCGGGTGGGTCCACATGCATGTCTTTTGTGTATTTTCGATGAAACGCAGGTGTATGCTTCCGTTTGCATAATCCTATGTTCGTCTTTTTTTAATTGTACACACAACACACATGTGTGTGTGTGCATGTGGCATCTGTGTGTATATATATACACATATATATATATAATATACGCATACACACATACCTAATAACCGAATATTTACATACATACATACATACGTACATACATACATACATACATACATACATACATACACACATACATACATACCACTACATTACATTACATTACATTACATTACATTACATTACATTACATTACATTACATTACATACACACACACACGTCCGTACCTACATACATACATATCCACCTAAGATCACCTAAGCATGTATTTACAGCCCTACATACATACCAACCCCACACCCTCCTCGATCCACACCACCTTTCTTGCCGACTGATCTTTCACTATCTTCTGTCTCTGTCTGTCTCCCAGGTTTCGAAAGCATGGGTGCTTAAGGCAGTTTCTCCACTTCACCCGTGCGTACTGCTACGCATTTGACTAGCTTGCATCATGTGAAACCACCTGAACCCCAAAACGGATTCTGTTTGCCACTCCGCCTTGGTGCCTACCGGTTGTTTCTTGCTTTCGCAGAAAACCACCCTCCCTCTTCCTCGACTAAAAAAACACCAGAAAGCTCCTCCGCTTCTGGGTAATCAGTGTTGCTCTCTCAGTAAGAAAGAACAGCTCTCGTCTTTTGGTGGAGACACTTCGTTCATCACAGAGAGGCATGAGACTTCCCATTCATCCTTATCCGTGGCCAGTCAATGACTAATGGTGTTTTACTTCCCTATGCCTGTGAGAAATATGAGAAAGCACCTTTATCGACCTTTATCTCTTAAATCACACCACTATGTGATAAACACATTTGATCATAAATTAAAGGTCGTCACATCTTGAATCGAAACGGTTGCTCTTCTCTTCCTACTGTAAGAGGTAAGAACACGCCTTCGGTTGACAACAAACATTACAAGGGTGTTTTCGCTTGTTAACAGCAGAAAACCAAGACCTGCTGTGTATCTTTCAGTGCACAAGTAAAGATAAAGCTGTTGCTCCTCATAAGGAATGCGGCCGCAACCGCCGTCCATGTCTGCTTATGTTTCAGGGACATTAAGGCAACTTCTTATCTTGAACACAAAAGCCGTTTGTCGCTTAATGGTATGCAAAAGAACTGCATCCTGCAATACAGCATGAAGACGCCCGTTTCCTCTCCGCATATCCTCAAGGCAAAGGTGGAAACACTTCTGTTTTCACCATGCTTTAGAGAAAACCATAAAACGATTGAATCACATCTGGAGAACAATTTGATCTTAACTGAACATATAAACTTTGTTCGATGAAGCAAAAAATGACTACTGCTATATAGCCAGTGAAGCATTTGTGTTTCAAACCCGAGAAAGCTAGGGAGCCTCGTCCCACCGTGAGTGAAAGGTCTACATTTATGTATAGCAAGATTCTTCACCCAGGAAGAAACGAAAACTCGACTGTCTCTGAATGAGACGTAAGGTTGAACATTTTTGTTGAAAGTGTCGGCACAAAACCTCCTAAAGCATCCCAACACAACCAAACACCTTGCAACAGTACCTGGAACGACTCCACGTATACGATCATGATCCCGATACAACGAAGTCGTGTCTGACTAGGAATATGCCGCAAGAATATGAACTAACTCGTGTAAGCTATTGCCTTTATGACAACCACAATGACTAATTTCATGCTTTACATCTTGGTTGGCGAAAATGCCGCCAGGCTCAAACATACCAACATGTCCTATCTAAAGCATGAAGTGCACACACCTCCGCAGGTGTCAAATTTCCCCAGAAATTCCCCAACACCTGGCATCTACAGGTCCATCAGTATTCGGTTCTGGTGAACTTCGGGAAGCTGGGGGACGTTTGATACCTGCCGGAATCTACAGGGCCATCAGTTTTCAGTCATCTGAGGTTGCCAAAATGCCGCCCGGCTCGAATTCGCAGTGTGCGTGGCTTTTAGCCCAAAAGCGTGCATCAGCCGAGCAGCCAATCACCCTAAACCCCTAAACCCTACACCTCTAAATGTTTTTTTGCACCAGGGCTTGTGCAATCGCCTGCTCTAAACCCCTAACCCCTAAACCCGACCAGCCGATCGGCTGATCGGCTGAATCGTGTGATGCGCAGTTTGGAAACCCACTTTGCGAGCGCAGTGCGAATTCGCACAAGCTTGCTGAAGCTTGAAATGCGAAAACATCGGCTTACAGTTATTTAGATAAATTACATGTGTGTATGTGTACATGTTTATGTGTATATATATATGTATACATATACATCGCCGTGGCTGGAAGTTTGCAGTTCAGGCAGTGGGCTTTGAGAAGGCAGCAGCACGTGTCTTTGGCCGGCAACGTCTAGGGTCGAAGGTTCTGCCGTTGTCGATCTTGCGGCTTCACTACTGTTGCTGCTGCGCAAGTGCTGTTTGTTGTTCGTGGCTTACTAAAGTGTGACAATGAATGGCTATGTATTGATTGCGTTTCCAACCTTCCAAGCCACACAGCGATGCATCGTGGTCTCTTTCCTTCCAGGATGACCAGAAGCTTTCCGTTTTGAGGGCCGGACTTCTGATCTCCAGCATCCTTGGCCTTCTGGAGTGCCTCTTCAGGGCTCCTATTGGGGGTTAGGGCTGGTTTGGGTTTGGGCAGTTCAGGGCTCAGGAAGATGGGGTTTGCACTTACCCGATGCTAGAAACGGGGAGACTTGCGTGGATCCAACGACCTAGCAGTCCTGCAAAGTTCGTTTCTGAGCACGGCAACAGGACAACTCTTGATAGCATGCGCAAAGTTTTCCGTCAATTAAACTCCCTTTCCCGAGACACTCATCCAAAGGAGTAGCCGAACCCTTCCCTAAACCCTAAGCCGCAATTTTCGGTTCAATTCAAGGCGGCCCGCCCTCTGAAATTGAGCCTTTCTTGAATCTACCCTTAGCCATTCTACGCTTCCCCAGAATTGTGTTTTCCAAGGCTGGGCGACAAGACCGAAACTCCTATGCATAAAGACTGCAGGTATAACTTTTACACGAAACCTAATGCCTGAGCCGAATAGCAGGCTAGCTACAAGGCCACAATAGCTCTCGCTACAATTCCTGGGTGCAAAGTTTCTGTTCCTAGCGCTGCATGGATCCTTTATAGCCTGTAAACACCCGCTTCTCAATTCGAACTCTTCTCCCGAACCTTCAGCATAATGCGACTGTTAGGCTTTAAGCCTTTAAGCCTTCGGGAAGGGATGGTATCATCAAACTGCCACTGAGCAAGTCGCAGCTGGAAGGCTGAAAGTTTGGGACACCATATGACGGAAAAAAGGGCTGTCGGTCCTGCTCTCACAACTTGGAGAAAACCGGATGGGGTGCTTAAAGTTTATTGTTTGCGTGACTTTTCGCTCGTCACAATGTCTCGCTGCACTGTAACGATTGAGTGCTCTGTGGCACGCTCATTTCGCTAGGCATGGGTTGTTCTGCATCAGGGTTCCTTTGGTAGGCTGTCCGTCTCGACATGCGTAAATACTTATTGGCCTCCCAAAACGGACCCCAATGGAGAGCAACCCCTCGTTCGCTCGAGACTCTGTCAGAAGACATCAGAAGACCTTCCGGCCCTCGCAACCAAGAGATGTGGGAAAAACCGCTGCAGGATCCTAACTTCGGTCCTTCGCTCCTGAGCTTCTAGGGCTAGGGTTAGGTCTCGAAAGTTTTTTTTGTCCACTCCCACATCACGGGCCCGAGTGCAGGCCATGAATAGGCATGTGCGCTTGAGCCGCCATCCTGAGATTCAAGGCTTGGAGGGCTTTGGAGCTTTGCGGAAGGAAGCGGGACGAAGAATAATTCTCGCTTGAGGCTCCAAGCTGTGGGATCACTCGGGTGTACTTTCTTGGTGTCGGTTGGGGCGTGTTGCGGAAAATAAAGGCTTGCTGTTGCCTGGTGCGTTCCAGCTAGTTACTTCCCGTTGCGAAGGGTTGAGCTTAGGGTTCATTGGATAAGATTCAACTACAAGGTTGTTGCATGCTTGGGGAAATCCGTTTTGGGACAACCTCTGAACCAAAAGCGGCATGGACAAGCTTCAAAGAGCGACACCCACACATGCGACGACGAGGACGGCGCAACCAGTACTAGAGATTTCAGAGGCACCAAGCCCTACGGAAAGTCACAGGAAAACCTACATATTCTTACTACCCATATGACTAACGTGGCTAAGGGGCCACTGCTGTCATTGATAGAATCACAAATTTCGTATGCATTCATGGGTGCCAAGTACTAGTATCATAAGAACTGCTGTGATCATGGGGTCCCGACAGCCGAGCAGCTGATGCATGGGCACAGCCATAGCCATCGGCTGCATGCCGCCCTGGGGCAGCAGCATGCCTGAGTTCAGGGTATGACAGGAGTAGAGTTTATGGGAGTATATGTTTTCAGTACATAGCAGAGTATATAGTATAGTATATCAGGTTATGGGGTCTACAGAGTCTACAGGAAGTGCTGGAAAACCAGGACTAGCTGGCTGACATGCAAGATCTGCCGTTTGGTTGCATTGAATGTTCGACTGCGAGACTTCAACAGATGGCACTAGTGCAGCCATTATCTCTCAGTACCTCTACGTCGACTTGCTGCAACGAGGGGAACGTGCAAGGAAACCGCAAGGCTGGTCTCAGGTTTTAGGGCCATGGCCCCTCTTTGGCCAGGCTGGTTGCCAAACCTTCTGAAGTTGCTTGCTGCCTAAAATGCACCAGACGCAACCGGCTCCTTCCGTCACATTCACGCCGAACCGATCACATTCCCACGACTTGTGATTCCGCTCTTGCAAGCCAGCTTCCATTTGAAGGGCTCTTATTCCAGAAACCTCCAAGTAAAGTCAGCCGCCGGTCAAGAGAACCCTTTTGCGACACGCGGGACGAAGGATATTCTAAAGTCGGGCATTCAGCAATCATATGATCAGGCACGGCAAAGCGCTCAGCTTGTGCAGTTCTTGCATACAAGACACCCATTTGCTGGTATTGCTGCTGCTGCTGCTGCTGGCGCCGGGCCTCCCATGTGCAGCCACACAAACAGTGACATGGAACACTGATTCAGGCTGCGATAATGATGCATCCGCCTGAATGCAAGACAAGGCGCTGGGGTGCGGCTTGGTTCAATGATTTACCACAGGCGCGCTGAGCTGAAGGGATTCAGGAAGACAAACGGGCTTTGCTTGAGCTTGGGGAAACATCTCTGCGCGCTGCATTCCCTATGTCATACTAACCTTGAATATAGTGTTTCTTTCGGTCTCTATATAGATTGGCCGGCCTCTGGTCCGTACATGGAGATGTTCGTTCTCTGGAGAAGCAGCCGCGCGAGAGTACCGGAATCTGGGGCGGTGCCCATCCCAGGAATGTGAACCTGCCAGAAGTTGGGTAGTCTGTTGAGCTGCTCGGGACTTCAATTCCGATGCTGACCGACTTTAAATTCAAGTCATGATGAAAGCTCAAGGCTTGTGTGATTGCATTGGTCTCCAGAAGTGACAGGGGTTCGCTGTGACATGTTGCTGACAGCTGATCGGCAGCATAGATGGCGGACCAAACCATGTACTCGCCGTGGCATGCTGTTGATAATATCAAAAAAACTAGAATGACTAGAAGGGTGACGAGCTTGGCTGCTGCAGATAGTGATGTGCAAGCTGTAGCTGGTGTGTTGGTAGCCCTGCTTCCCGGATTCCAGAGCTACAAACGGATCCCAAAGCTCGCATGAAACTTCGGTAGCCTGCGAGAGCACGGCCTCTTGTGCATTTGGGTCCTGTCAGCGAGGGGCTCGTGCTTTCCGACCCGGTCAACTTCACTTCCCAGGCTACAACCAGCAGAGCCGCAAGATTCCAAACAAGCCTAGGGGTATGGTGTCGTCTTGGCTATACACGAGACACGAACAAGAGCAGTCCTCTTCATGCAGGATCGCACAGAGTGCTAGCCAAGAGACCACCAACAGGGCGGGGGGGGGAAGCCTAGATAATGCAGGCACATGAGACATTCTGAGTCGAGGGCGCAGCAGGACATCAACACAGGCAGGTTGGTGCGCACGAATACAAACTGTGGATAGTTAAAAGTGCATGAACACTGCGGCCAAAATTCGCAGCTTCCTTCGTGCAATGACAACTAGTGACCAACATTGTCACACATAGCACTGGGGAAAGAGCATCTGCTGCATGATAGACGCTGTTCATGATGTTGGCGACGCTAACAGGTCTCATGGCCAACATAATTTCAACCACTGTGAGTCAGTGGGGTTCATCACGAAACCGCCATGTGAAAACATTGGTTTAATGCCATGGCACCAATACCAAATGCATTGATATGAAAACTACGAAGCACTACCACAACCACTGTCACTTGAAGCATCACCAACCTTAACATCACGATTGCATGCTTGGGGCCTTCATCATCTTCGAGTATCATCAACAGAGTTTGCCCGGCGGTCAGCTCGACATTGCCAGGTTTTGGTCTCCACCCGGTCTTGGAACCCTCATCTTAGAATCTTCGATGCACCTCCGCGTCTCTTGCTGCGGTCGTTGCTCCTAGCGTTTGTTCAACATCCTAAACCCCAGAAGAAACTGTACGAACATGTCCTTCTTGATGGCTGCATAGACGACAGGCTTCCGTCGCCTGCCTGGCTCGAGAGCATCACAGAAAAGGAGCCTAGACTACAGAACGCAAAGCCTTCAACCTAAAGCCTTGAAAACCCCAAGCCGGCCTTTCGGTGATTCTGGTTCCCGGCTCTTTGAGTGCGAGGGTGCGGCGCCGGAACTGGGGGCATCGCTAAACCTGCACCAGCTTCAGGGCTCAGGGCTCCGGGCTGTGGGCTTTCGGATTTTGGGACTATGGGGATTGAGAGTTTGGGGGTGTTATTGCCACTCAGAAGCTCCGACAAGTACCCGGTCTAGAGACTTCGGATAACTCTGGGACGGCGTCAAGCTCGGAAGTGCATGTCTCGCGTCCATTAGCACTTCGGTGCTTTGTGTCGCCACCAGACTTAATTGCCAATCTAAAAACGGCTATGCAAACCATCTCGGGCAGAAATTTCATGGTCTAGGATCCAGAGATCCGGAGTTTACCAACGACTAACGCCCTCAAGGGGCTGAACTAAGTTGGTAGCCTCATACTCGTGTAGAATTAGACTACCCCCCCAATACCCTAATCAAAGTGTGTTGACGGCTTCAGACTGGCTTTAAGTTGTCGGTTGGGTTGCCAGTTGCCTTTATTGTCATCTTGGAACCCCTCATCTGCATTGGATTTTGCAGGGAGGGATAGCGAGGGAGAGAGGTGGGGAGCGGGGAGGTGGAGTTTGGGTTGTCGCTCGCCTTCGATTGCACGGGAAACAAGATGGCGACCCAACCAACACCGAAACCATAGAAAAGAAAACCAGAATGGCAAGAAGAAGTGCTGTATTCCTTACCCAGCGCATGAGGCCATGGAACCTCGTCACACTGCCGGGGGTGAGCTCTGGGCTGCCACTTGTCGGCACCATGCAAATGTTCCTTAAGCACGGAAGGGCTTAGGGCTTTCCTGAAGAAACTAAGCTGTAAGCAGACAGAACAGTTTACAAATGGGAAAAAGATGCTGACTCCTAGAACAAGGAAGAAGAAACAACACAGTAGAGGTGTGTCTTGCCCGCTGCGTCGCGAAAAAGCTGTCATTAGCAGCCTTGCTCGTTTACTTTCCCACCCACTTCGCTGACTAGTGCGCGCTGTTTACTGAGATCCAGGCTTTGCTGAATCCGGCAGGGGAGAGCTCGAGATGTGTGTGCTTTCGGAAGGCTGGCTCTGCGAGAAAGATGTACGAAGGCATCTGAGATTTGTCGCGCTGTATCGTTCAGAACTGGCGCGGGTAATCCGGCGTTTGGCCGTGCCCGCAACGCAAGCCTTCCTATCTCTACAGTGGTGGGCTCTACAGTGACTGTACAGGTCCCAGTGCACTTCCTGGCCGGTTTGACTAAGATTGGGGCACAGCATCCAAGACCCTGATTCCGAGTGTTAGCATCAGAAATAGCACACCGTACGTGTCTACCGACATGCATGATATGGCGGCAAGAGCCCTCATGACCCACTACGAACCATTCGACGACAACGGATCCGCCAGCATTCGGTCTCCAAGACTCCTAGCAGGCTGCCCTTCCGATCAAGCGCCATTCTTGACATGTTCAACATGCCGCGATCCAGAAAGTTGAACAAGCTGTAAACTAAAGTTATTTTGTGCATCTGGTCTCCATGGATGCAAGCCCAACTTCACCTGGGAGCCTGCTCTAGACCCTAGACTCTTTTTCCCATATAACTTAATCATCCCTTCTGTCCCAGCCTCAAAACCCAAAACTAATAACCATTATTCCAAGCCTAGACCCCTAACTTTAAACCTGCTCAAAAAAAAACAAAACAACCGCAAACTGGCCCTAAACCTTAAACGAGCTAAATAGCACCCGAGAGTCTTCCTCGGCCGGCCCGCTTTGGCCGATCTCTCGTGGAAGCTCTCGGACGATTTGGCCTTGGAACTCAAGGCCCCGAACTCGGTCTAACGTTGAAGGCGAGGTTAGCCTTAAGAACCAAGCCAAGTCCTGAGGACATCAAGCTAAGTGCTGTAACTGTAAAGCATAACATCAACGTTTCTCTGCCCCTCACAGCAGGCTTAGCCCACGCCCGCAGTTCCAACTCCAACAGAAAGCCTAAAGATATCGTACGGTCTTCAGCTTCTCCTGCCCTGAATCTCTCAAAAGTCACCACCCTAAACCGTAAAGCACCATCGTACATTCCAAGGTCCCTAAACCCTCAAAGCCCGGGCTTCCGACCTTCGGTGTGTGGCCATTGAGCGACGTCTGCGCCATCGTCTCGTGGCTTGGGCTCAGCTCCCTCTGCGCCTTCGTTTTGAAGGAAGGCAGTCCCAAGGCACTTTAAGGGATTTAAGGGGCCGTCTAGGCAGAGTTGGATTGGCTGACATTTTTAGGACCGCTTACAGAGTAGCCCTTCGGAGTTCACCTCAGACTCTCCAGGCACGGCCATGCATGTACGGATATGCTAGGCATCCGGTTCCCATTTCTTTGAAGACAGGCGGCCAGCTTGTCTAACAAGCCTATCCCCCACAAGGAGGACCGACGATACCACGGGGACCAGGGGTATGGCAAAACACACGAGCAAACCAACAAATATCGGAGGTCAGGATTGCGGACTTTGGGAGAGACGGGAGAGAAAGCGAGAGCATGATTCTAGCCTCATCGCCCTTGAGCCCTTGTCTGAAATCATCTACCGGCACCTGCTGCGCGTGCAATTGCAGATCGGCTTCTCTCTCCTTCTCCACAGCCTGCACAGTGCGGAACTGCGTAGCTTTCAGAAGGCAGGAGGTGGGCCCATGCACTCTACGCTCTAGGATCCAAGATTGTAAAGCTACCGAAGGTGTGACTTCGGTACAACTGGCAGACAGCTTACGTCCTCTTCACTGATCTAGGACCTCACGCTCAGAACAACAACGATCCACGTGCAACAAAAGCATAACGCGAGGCGAACGACATCAAATTCAGCAAGTACCAGCAACAGCACCAGCTACACCAGTGGACACCAGCAGCAAGAGCAAAGCCACCGCCATATTTTTAGCAACAACAGCAGCAACAACGAGAGCAGCCACGAGAAATCCACAAGCACAGCGACAGCAATAGCAGGCTACTAGCCGTACTCTTAGCGACTTGCAGCCAAACTGCTGGCCACGAGTGGGCGTTTTAAGCAGCGATGCGAGTAAAGCGCAGGTAGCATGCAGTGACAATTCAAACACAAGACACGGCACCACATTTGTTTCAATTTGTTGTCCATGACTATGCCATGCACAAGCAGCATGAAAGACGACGGCAGCATCAACAGCAACTTTCGTCACTATCACCTATGTCCCCTACGATGATGATGCAGCAGCATCTCGAGTTTTTGGTGGACCACCAGAGTTACAATTGAAGCAACACCAGGAAGTGTACAACCAACCGCGACAATAATAATCCTAGGGACGGACATGCTGAAATGGCAAGCATTCAGAAGCAGTTGTTCTGACTTCTGCCCCGTGCACGATCACCGTGAACTAGGTGCAAAAGACTACACTGTGAGGCCTCCAGTTTGGAACGAAGCTCTTCGGCCTCTTTGCGCCATTGCTGCATCTCCACCTTTGGGTTAGGGTCTCAGACTTTGGGGTTTGGGTTCCCGGCTTTACGAAGTCGGAGATTGACCTTTATGAATCATGAAGTGCCAATCTCTAAACTCCGAAAACTCTTTGTAAGTATCGGTAGGCCCCCCAAAGCCGTAAACCAAGCCCGTAAACCCCAAACGGTTCATGTCGAGCTCCCCTCCGGCCCAACCGTCGGTACTCGGTACT